GTTCATCCAGCTCTACACCTTCTTATCTCTTATTACAGGTAGTAGTGTTCTCATGCATCTCTTGCCCTTGTCCTTCTAGATGGAAGCAGTTTTGGATTTGGAAAATGCTGTCAAAGAAACATTGATGAATTTCTGCAGTGCATCTTGTAGATGATACACACTGCTGCTACTGAACAGCAGTGGTGGAGGGAGTGAATATTTCTAGATGTGGTTCCAATCAAATGGGTTGCTTCGTCCTGGATGGTGTCAAACGTTATGATGGTGCTGGAACTCAATCATCCAGGGAAGTGCAGAGTGTTCCATCACACTCCATCCTGACTCAGCATTATAGAACAATTCCTTTGTCATCACGCGGTTAAAATCCTTGACCTCCCTTCCTAAAAGCTCCTGTACCTGCACAATGTGGACAGTAGTAGTTTAACAAGGTAGCTCACCACCAATTTTTCAAGAGCAATTAGGGATGGGCAATAAATACTGGCCTAGCCAGCAACATCCACTTCGCTGAGATAAACAAAAAACAAATTCAAAACCAGGTTTAATGCATTGGCCTATAAATCATGCTTGCAGCATTAGCTTGTTCCACTGAATACTACTGATGGTCAAATGGTGAAGGAGTAAGTGAAGATGCCAATGAACTAGGACAGAGAATCTGGATTGTTTCTGTAGACAGTTATATCTGAAATGTTTGTCAATCTTAAAAAGCTGCATCGTCAAGTGTCTCTGAAATCAAGGATTACATTAATTGATGGGAGCAAGTTTCTACCATGAGTATTCATGTGACTGAACAGGACAGTCCCCAGTCCACAGATTTCTTTGGGTTATGGGACGGGAAGTCCACGAGATGAGGGGTTCATAACGTAGGATCTGGTTCCTTTTCTTTCCTTGTCTGCTAATATCTCATTGCTAAGACAAGTGGACTCAAACGGAGATGGACAAATTATTGCTATTTTGAACAACTGGGAGTAAGCTCCTCCCCGTAATTAATTGTAATGTCGCTGCATTTCAAGGAAAGGCTAAGGGTGTCTTTGAAGTGTTTTCTTTGCCCTTCCCTGGAATGCTGACCTGTTGAAAGTTGAGAAAACAAGACCTGGACCTTTCAGCCATCAGTCCAGTGTCCAGCCCACCACAGTTCATTATGAAGCTTTTCTCTGCCTGTGGATTGTGCACTAAACACTGAACTGTTGAGCTATAACTAGAAAGAGTTTCCTGTTTTTGTTTGGAAAGGAGCCGCTAACTAAATGAGAGTTGAGATTGGCTGCTTCTAGTCTGCCTGATCCAAATGGGAATTTCTTCACAAACAGCATTTGATGACTATCAGGATTGGGCTGCACTAACAAGCAAACTTCCTATTAGTCTGTCTGCTCTTACACGATGGTCTGGAAATCTCCCACTCAAAGAATTTGTTATTCTCCTTCAACAACTGTAAGAACTTCCCTCAGTATTTATTGACTTTATTTTATACATTCACTAGCCAGTGACTATACCCCGACAGGTCAATAACCACTTACGGTATAAACCACTGACAGGAAAGCTTGTAAAAAATAAAATGCAACATAAGAGACAGTCAGGAATAACAATTTCAGGTGTACTTTGTTTTATAATTTACAATGTAAGTGGTAAGGCAAGGGTTCTTGTAGTGCAGTGATAGCGTCACTACCTCTGGAACAGAAGGCCTGGGTTCAAGTCCCACCTGCTCCAGAGGTATGTAATAACATCTCTGCAGTAGTTGATTAGAAAATATCTGTGAGTTGTAATGGATCTGGGCTCTTGTGGCACAGGGTTAGTTTGAATTTGAGGTTGATTTATTGCTGTCACATGTATCGTGAGAAGTGTTGTTTTGCATGCTCAATAGGCAGATCATAACCATACAAAGTGCATCAGGTAGAGAACAGAGTGCAGAATACGGTGTTACAGCCACAGAGAAGGTGCAGAGAGAGTGAGAATCAAAATTAACATTTGAGGTCTGTTAAAAAGTCTGATTCAAGAAGCTGATCTTGAATCTTTTTGTACTTAAATTCAAACTTTTATATCTTCTGCCCGACAGAAGAGGACAGAAGAGAGTATAACTGGGGTGGAAGGGTCTTTGGTTACGTTGGTTGCTTTTCCAAGGCAACAGTAAGCACAAATGGAGTCAATGGGTGGGAGCCTGGTTTGAGTGATGGACTGGGCTGTGTACACGGCTCTCTCTGTAGTTTTTTGTGGTCTTGGGAAGAGCAGTTGCCATACCACGCTGTGATGCATCCAGATAGGATGCTTTCTATGGTGCATCTATAAGAATTGGTAAGAGTCGTTGTGGACTTGCTAAATTTCCTTAGCCTCCTGAAGAAGTAGAGGCATTGTTGTGCTTTTTTGACTGTCGCATGATCCTGGGTGGACCAGGACAGATTGTAGGTGATCGTCACTCTCAGGAACTTGATGCCCTCAACCATCTCCACCTCAGCACCATTGATGCAGACACAGGCATGCCATCCACTCCGCCTCTTGAAGTCAATGACCTGCTCTTCTGTTTTGCTAACTTTGATGGAGAGATTGTCATCTTTACACCATGCTGCTAAGCACTAAATCTCCTTCCTATATGCCGTTTTGTCATTGTTTGAGATCTGACCTACAATGGTGATGTTGTCAGCAAACTTGTAAATGGAGTTGGGGCGGAATTTGGCCACACAGTCATGAGCGTATAAAGTAAAGTAGGGGGCTGAATACACCAGCCTTGCAGAGCACTGGTGTGGAGGATTATTGTGGAGGAGGTGTTGTCGCCCGTCCTTACTGATTGTGGTCTATAGGTCAGGAAGTTGAGGATCCAGCTACAGAGGGTGGAGCTGAGACCTAGTCCTCAGAGTTTGGAATTATAGTACTGAAGGTGGAGCAGTAGTCAATAAGTAGAAGCCTGGCGTAGGTATCCATGTTATCCAAATGTTCCAGGGATGAGTGTAGGGCCAGGGAGATGGTGCCTGCCATGGACCTGTTGCAACAGTAGGTGAATTGCAAAGGATCAAGGCAATTTGGTAGGCTGGAGGTGATGTCAGTCATGACTAACCTCTCGAAGCACTTCATAATTATGTCCTACCAGAGATCCAAACATCCTTGACCATTGCTACATAACGATCAAAGATGCCTGCTGCTCCATCCCTCGTCTGCAATTTGGAAAATCAGATCACAACCCTGTGCTCCTCCTCCCGGTTTACAAGCAGAAATTGAAGTGAGGACGCAGTACAGGAACAGTGTTGGTCTGAGGCAACAGAAGGGCTTCTACAGGACTGCTTCAAGTTGGTGGACTGGTCCATATGTAAGAATGCAGCGGCCAACCTAAATGAGTATGCCACCACTGTTACAGACTTCATTAATAAGTGTGTAGACGACTGCGTGCCGGTGAAGTTAATCTGAATGTTCCCCAACCACTAACCTTGTCAGTGTCCCTATCTCTGATCCAGAAGGCCTGGTTTCAAGTCCCACCTGCTCCAGAGGTGTATAATAACATTTCTACAATGAATTGAATAAGAAAATATGTACAAGCGGTAAGGCCTGCTGCACAGCAAGGTAGGAAAGGTGAGGAACAAAATATTCAGAGCAAGAAGTAAAGAAGGTAGTAATGACTAAATCATAACAGACTTTGATTCTAAAAACCTGTGGGTGGGTGGTGATGACAAATCTGGGAGGTAAAGAATTCAGTGGTTTTGGGGTTCTGAGAACAGCACAACATTAGGAAAACAGAATTTTTCAGTAAACTGTACACATTGCTTAGCCATTCATGCAGCTAGAACTGAAAGTTTCTTTAAGGATGTGGGTGTCTGGAACTTCCTCGTAAATGTCAATTTTTGTGTAGTTTGTACATGGATGATCATGCAAAGTTTTGTCAATGTACCACTGCTGACTTCTTCAGTAATAGGTCTGCTCACCTTCAGAATATTCTAGTTTGAGGTAAGAGAGACAAGATGCCTGCACGTAGATGCGATGCACTACATATAAAACATCAACAATGAGAATGAATTTGTAAACCTGAATAATGTCCCTCATAGAGACTCGAGCAGACCATATAAGATGGGCCAAAGGGCTAAAAGTTAATGATGATATTCGACAGCTGCATGAGAAGATAGATTGTATAGGACGGGCTGAAGGGCTAAAATTGTTGATGATACTCGACAAGCTGCATGACCTTGGATGAGTCTTGTTAACATTCCTTTACAGGCAAAGACGGCACCTGCAATTTGTTTTTCTGTAGCTGTGTTTTGTTTTCTGTATCTGCTATCTTTGTGCTGGCTATTTGTCACACGTTTTAAGAGACAGAGTGTTTTTGTTCCAAGTCGCCGGACTTCACCTCGGACCAGGATCGCGAACAGTACCAGGAACGAACTTAAGCCTCCAGACCCGCCAGCGGCTGAGGGGCCCCCAACAGGCAGGAGGGCGTGAGACTTGTTGCTTTTTCTGGAAGGGCGTGAGGCTTGTTGTTTTTTTTCCACTTTGCTCTTCCATTTACTATTTATTTATTAATACCATTATAATCATTATTATTACTTAATAAACAATCATTTTAATTAAATTGCTGTTGTCGAGTCTTCTCTTAATTATATTTACCCGAATCTGAAAAGAACCACTTGGATACACTCTGTGATCCAAGATACAGAGTTTGGACTATCTCAATCTAGTTATAATGTTATATCATTGAGGATTAATCAACAGTTCCTACTGGTTTGAAAACTCAAACTTGCTGTCAGCTAACTACCACTTCTTGTTTCGCCTCAGTTTTCTTTGTTGTATGGGGTTCTAACCCAAGGGGTTTTTATCCAGGATTCACAATGTCTTGACCCCAGTATGACGTTAATAGTTCAAGTCACAGCAACACAGAACTAAAAAGTCAACCTTGGACAGTAATGCCACTGATATCATGTTTGGTTACCTTGCCTGCATAGTGATGAATGATAAAGCCCTGGTTCCAGCTGTTGAAGTGCTCGTGGGTTCCAATTTGCATCTGCAACTTCTGCAACAGTGTCTGATCTGCCCCCTCTCCTGTTGCATGCATTGTCGCACAGACGTCATCCAAAATACTCAAAATTCCTGGTGGATTCTGTGAATAAATACGTGCAATTACAGACCATAGGATGGACATCACAGAATGATGACACTGTCTGGTGGTTAGCATTACATATAAAAATGGCACACGTTGAACTGTGTTGGTTGTAATGGTGTACAACTGTTTTTGGCAACAAGAAAACCATTAGTCCATAGAACTTGAATTATATCACTATTCCTACCAGAAATTAACACAGCCTTTTTTCAAAACCTGCCACAGCCTTTTTTTTTTATGTGTGCTTCACAATTCTACCACCTTTTACTAAAAAGATTGCCAAAATTTCTTAGTTTTAACTGATGTTATGGTGTGAATGGTGCCCTCTAGTTTTTGAACCATATACCCAACAGAATATTTGTCTTAGATCAAATCTCTCCAAATTCATTAAATTCTAACAGTACTCTAGCTCTCTCCAATCTGTACTTGGCCTTCCAGATGATCCCTTATGCCATCCCTCATCAAAATCTCGAGTACTTTACCACATTTGAGGTGAATCACAGGCCTATAATATTGATCCTAGGCTTCTCCTCTAAGGCCAGTTTACATAAGAGCCACTCAGCTCCTGACCTCATCACAAGTCTCAGTTCCAACATGAACAAAAAAGCTGAATTCCAGAGGTGAGGTGAGAGCGACTGTCCTTGATATCAAGGATTCATTTGATCAAGTGTGGCATCAAGAAGCCCTACTAAAATTGGAATTAATGAGAATCAGTCATATCTGGCACAAAGAAAGATGGCTGTGGTTATTGGAGGTCATTCATCTCAGCTCTAAGATATCTCTGTGGGAGTTCCTCAGGGCAGTGTCCTGGGCCTGACCATCATCTGCTGCTTCAACAACATTTGCTCAATCATAAAGTCAGAAGTGGGATGTTCACTAATGATTCATCAATGTTCAGCACCATTCACGACTCCACAGATCCTGAAGCAGTCCATGTTCAAATGCAACAAGATTTGGGCAATATCCAGGCTTGGGCTGACAAGTGGGACACTAAAGACAGGCAATTGTCCAATTGTCCAATAAGAGACAATCTAATCAATACACCTTGACATTCAATGGTGTTATCATCACTAAACTCCCACTTCAACATCGTGAGGGTTACTATTGACCAGAAACTCGACTGGACTAGCCATATAAATACAATGGCTAGAAAAGCAGGTCAGAGGCTAGAAATATTGCAGTGAGTAACTGATTGCCTGATTCCCCAAACTCTGCCCATCATCTATAATGTGGAGGTGCCAGTTTTGGACTGGAATGGACAAGTTCAGAAATCACACCACACCAGGTTATAGTCTAATAGGTTTATTTGAAAACACAAGCTTTCGGAGCCTCAGGCCTTCTTTATGCCTAAACCTGAATAAACCTGTTGGACTACAACCTGGTGTCGTGTGATTTCTGACCTCATCATCTAGAAGACACAAGTCAGGAATGTGATAGAATGCTCCACACTTGCCTGGATGAGTGCCGCTCCAACCACACTCAAGGGGCTTAACACCATCCAAGAAAGAGCAGGCTGTTTGATTAGGACCACATCCATAAACATCCACTCATTCCAGCACCAATCGTAACAGTGTGTACCATCTATAAGATGCACTGCAGAAATTCACCAAAGATCTTTAGACAACACCTTCCAAACCCATGACTACTACCATCTAGAAGGACAAAGGCAGCAAAACATGGGAACAGCATCATCTGCAACTTCCCCTCCAAGCCACTCACTATCCTGACGAATGGAAACGTATTGTCATTCTTTCAGTGTTGCTGTTTTGTGATAAACAATACTTTATTAGCTTGTAAATTTGCACAATATTTATCTTTACATCTCATAGAAGCTTCTTGACCTTCATTTGATTTTCCTGACTTTCCTTTTTTGGTCCCCATAAAACAGAGGCCTTAATATGAATTGTTTTGACCTCCGATAGCAGTAACCCACCTCCGTTGTTATGTGATGACCTTTGAACATGTTCCTATCATTAGCTTTATCCCTTTTCTATCTGTCACATTCAACAAAATGGACTTTGTGCCAATCTCCATGCCTTCATCTCCGCGATAAACCATGCCGCTTCACCACTTTTTGTTCACTTCCTCAAGTTCCCAGTACCTTGCAGATTTGATCTCCATTCATACTCTTCCTTAGCCAGGTTTCATAATTTCTGTGATGTCTATTAGTTTCCTATTTGCCATCATTCTGAACCCATCTTATTACATGATATGATCTTCATATGAATATATTTTAATTCATTCACCATCCTAATAATTGACCCACATGGCTATCTAGCTTCTTCAGATAGCAACCTTGAAGGTCTAAGAATTGCTGAAATACAATTTGTGTTACAAGTTTACTACAGGCAGGGCAAGGAGCCAGGCTTCAAGTCTAGCTCAGTGTAAGCAGGAATCAAACTCCATGTTTTTGTTCAGATGTTTTGTCACCATGCTAGGTAACATCATCAGTGAGACCTCCGAAGAAGCGATGTTGTTCTACTTTGCTTGGAATTTATACTGTCCGGTCTGTTATGGTGAATTGTGTCATTTCCTGTTTTGTTCTGTATGGGTTTGTATATGGGGTCCAATTCTATATGTTTGTTGATTGCATTATGGGTTGAGAACCATGCCTCTGGGAATTCCCGTACATGTCTATGCCTGGCTTGGGCTACTATGGTTACATTGTCCCAGTTAAATTGATGGCCTTCAATGTCCAAGTGTACTGATATTAAGGAAAGTTTGTCGTGTCGTTTTGCTGATGTTGGTACACGTCAAAAATGGTTGGAGGCACGTGATAGTGGAAAGGTTATGGGTCCTGACAACATTGCAGCAATAGTATTGAAGACTTACACTCCAGAACTTGATGCATCCCTATCCAAGCTGTTCCAGTACAGTTACAACATTTAACTACCTGACAATTGCCCTAGTTTATCTGTACGTAACAAGTAGGTTAAATCCAACCCAGCCTACTACTGTTCCATCACTATACACCCGATCATCAGTAAAGTAATGGCAGGTGTCATCAAAAGTGCAAGTAGCACCTGCTCAGAAATAACCTACTCGGTTTGGGTTCCACCAGGGCCACTCAGCTCCTGAACTCATTACGGACTTGGTTCAAACATGGACAAAAGAACTGAATTCCACAGATGAGGTGAGAGTGACAGCTCTTGACATCAAGGCTGCGTTGAAGCTAGCATGGCATCACTGAGTCCTAGCAAAACTGGAATGAATATGTATCCGGGGTAAACTATCTACTGATTGGAGTTATACCTGGCACATAAGAAGATGTTGGAGGTCAGTTATCTCAGCTCCAAGATGTCTCTGCAGGAGTTGCTCAGGGTAGTGTCCTCGGCCCAACCATCTTTAGCTGCTTCATCAATGACCTTTGCTCCACCTTAAGGTCAGAAGTGGGGATATTCGCTGATGATTGCACAATGTTCAGCAGCATTCGTGACTCTTCAGATACTGAAGCAGTCCGTGTTCAAACAATGTCCAAGATTAGGCCGACAAGTGGCAAGTAACATTTATGCCACACAAATGCCAGACAATGACCATCTTCAATAAGAGACAATCAAACACCTTGATGTCCAATGGTGTTACCATCACTGAAAACCTGGCTATCAAGATCGTGGGAGCTACCATTGACCAGAAACTTAACTGGACTTGCCATGTAAACACAGGGGCTACTAGAGAAGGTCAGAGCCTAGGAATACTGTGGCGAGTAACTCCCCAAAGCCAGTATACCACCTACATGGCACAAGTCAGGAGTGTGATGGAATACTCCCCACCTGTTGGATAGATGCAACTCCAATAACATTCAAGAAGCTCGACACCATCCAGGACAAAGCAGCCCCCTTAAGTGGCTTCACATCAACAAACACTCACTCTCTCCAACATCACACACCCCCTCCATCACTGATGCAAAGGAGCACAAGCTTCTATGATCTGCAAGATGCACTGCATAAATTCATTAAAGATCCTCCGACAGCACCTTCCAAGCTATGACTATTTCCATCCAGAAGGACAGGGGCAGCAGATACATGGGAACCCCATCACCTGCAAGTTCCCCTTCAAGCCACTCACCATCCTGACTTGGAAATATACTGCCACTCCTTCATTGTCGCTGGGTCAAAGTCCTGGAATTCCTTCCCTCAGGGCATTGTGGGTCAACCTACTTCACATGGATAGCAGTGGTTCAAGAAAGCAGCTCACCATCATCTTCTCAAGGGCAACTAGGGACAGGCAATAATTGCTGCCCAGTCAGTGATGCCCACGACCCACAAGTGAATAAATAAATATTCCTCCTATGCTGCAGCTAAGTGGTTACCACAAACCAATTGTAAAATTTGTTTTCCAGTCACTTCGTTCCTGCAGGTGAAGCACAGCACACAACAATAAAGAACAAGGGTGATCACAGCAATGGGCATATGGTTACTGGGGGTCTAATATTAGCCAATAAATGGCTAAACAAATTGGAAATGTTAAATGATTAGAAAAGGCCAAGAGATTTACAATATAATAGATTAAAGTAAATATTTTATGGGAACACTTCTAAGAAAAATCAATCATTAATCGAGGGAAGAAGCTTTAGTTCTTTTTCAATAAACAGCACTATGGTCTTTGCTGATGAACAATGAAATATTAAATAAGATACAATTTCATTGAACATTGTTCTAAATATATAGAAGAACCAGATCTGATACTTACAACTTTGTTCTCTATAAGATCACAGACAATTTTATTATTGAAATAGTCGATTGCAGTCCACTTAATTCCCTCCTGCACATATTCTTCCTGGGGGAATGAGAATTACACATTAACCAATAAGCTCATTCAGGCCGAAGACAAATGGTTGCAGGTGAACTGAAATAAAGGACATTGAATAGCAACAGCACTCACCAAAATGCAGTACGATTATAAATTACCATTGTTGTCTAACAGCCTCTAAGTTTCAGTTTCAAGAGTGCATTTGTACATTTTCCGCACATCAAGGTGAAGCATACTAGTACCGATTCTAAGACAAACTAGCTGCTTCTTTGGCTAAACAGTCAAAAATTCTTTACTATATATGACTTCATTTGTAACATAATGCAAATTAAAAGTTGGCTTTTGTTAAATACATCTTGAAGAGAACTCTTCTGACTTGTCAATACACAGAAACAATCCAGAAAATATTGATAGTTTGTATGGAAGCCCTTTGTCCAATACTGTTGCCATATTCAAAAATTAACTGCGTTAAAGGATTGCTTGATGTGTTGGTATTTGTAAATGTGAATTAAAACAGAGAAAATTCATCATTTATAATTAATACACAACAGTTATTGTTGATAGGTGTCAAAGACAGACAGAACATTGGGCAACAGGATACTCCTTAAATGATGAAAATTGTCTATGTTTAATTGAGAAGTTATGACAACAAAATGAAAATAGAAATGAAAAAGTTAAAGTGTGATGAATTGAAAGGTTGATATTGAACACTGGTTACAAAAAAGACGTGTCACAGTTCATTTTTAAGTCAGCATGAATCCAGAATTTATAATGTTATGAAGAGTACCTTGTGGTCACATAAAGCCCAAGACCAAATCTTTGCTGTATTTATCAGATAAGCAATAATAATGGATGAGAGCTTAACACATTTATACGTCTGTGCAAACAACTTTCAAATAGATGAGTTATTTCCACTCCTAAAGCATGTGTTTTCAGAATTTTAACTGTTTTTAAATGTGACCCCCTGCTCAAGGTCAATCTGATTTAAGACTGTAGGGTTGAAAGGGGGAATGGAGGAGGTGAAGATTTATGTTGCTCTTCCTTGCATGGAAAATGGATCAAAATTAAATTGAAACAGGGACAGGAAATGAACTGAAATGGTGAAAGATCCAGATTTTCTTTAAAGTTGCACCTTACTGATGTGCAGACAGTTTAAAATGCTGGATTTATGGATAAATTATTTTTAATCACCTGTTTGGACCTCTTATGGCACCCCTTCAGGGAAGGTAGGACTTGAACTTGGGTCTCTTGGCCCAGAGGCAGGGACACTACCACTATGCTCCAAGATTTGTGCAAAGTAAACATCCTCTGCAAACCAGTTAATGGCTGTAATATAGAGATAGTAGGAACTGCAGATGCTGGAGAATCCGAGACAACAAGGTGCAGGGCTGGATGAACACAGCAGGCCAAGCAGCATCATAGGAGCAGAGAGGCTGACGTTTCGGGCCT